AGTGGGGAGACCCTACCAGGGGCTCCCCCAGCTCCAGACTCCAGCAGGTGTACAGGCTGGGAGAGGAGTGTCCCCGATTCCCAGGAGTGGAGCTAGTCCTTAGGAGCAGGGAGCTGCTGGAAGGAAGTGGGCAGGAAAACCCAGCCACCCCCCCACCCCTGACCCTCACATCAGCGCCCCCTCGTTTTGGAATTTGAACTTTTAGAATCTGCTGTCTGATTGGACCAGGAATTCTGCAAGGATCCGCCCACCCAGTGTCTCCACCCTCACCCTCCCCAGACCATGGGGCAACAGTCCCAAGGAGAGGGCCCTCTCTGGGAGCATGTGCCTTGGGTGGCAGCTGCCCGAAGAACAGGCAATAACAATGGCAGCCGGGGTCAGATTCTACTGAGCAAATAAAAGTCGAAACGAATCAAAAGGAAACAGGCAAAGAGGAAAATAACAGCACAAGTCAATGTAACTGAAAAATGAAACATGCAAGAGCAGGGGCTTCTAGACACACACTGTCTCTGCAAGCTGTGCACTGGCCTCTGCAACCGCATGATCTTATCAGCCTTTCACTTCCCCTCCCCTCCCCTCCCCTCCCCTCTCTTGCTGTTGTTTGTTAAAGCCACTTTTTATGTCTTGTCTTAAAGGTGTCCGGGCAGGGCCTGTGCCTTACAACACGTCTGTGCAGGGCCTGGCACAAGGGGCCTTATCCTGCTCAGGATCTCTGGGCATCACTGGAATAAAAATAATAAAAACCTGACAACAGTTAGGCTGCTGGTGTGCTGAGACCACTACTCATTGTGCTGACCAATATGGGTTTTTTGTTTCCTTGCATTCTCCCACCTGTCTGAACTCATCGTTGTCTCTTATACTGTGAACTCTTTAGAGGTAAGAACAGTCTCCTTGTTCTGTACAGTGCCTAGCACAATGGGGTCATGTTCCATTGCTGAGATGCCCAGGCATGCAATAATAATGTAACCCAAGTTAATGGGTCTGATGAAAGGGGGAACCACACTTATTGCCGGGTAGATGAGAGATGGGGAAGACTGCAGTGTACTCACGTTGCCAAGATTGTAGAGCCTCGTGACTGGGCAAACCCTGGGAGATGGAAGGCTGACTAAGCCATTCAGAGGGGGGATGAGAGGAGGACAGCTGTGCCTAAACGAGAGCAGGCGACCCCCGACTGTCTCCCCTGCCCGAGGGGAGTGCGGGCGACCCCCCGACTGTCTCCCCCTCCCCGAGAGGAGTGCGGGCGACCCCCCGACTGTCTCCCCTGCCCGAGAGGAGTGCGGGCGACCCCCCGACTGTCTCCCCCTGCCCGAGGGGAGTGCGGGCGACCCCCCGACTGTCTCCCCCTCCCCGAGGGGAGTGCGGGCGACCCCCCGACTGTCTCCCCCTGCCCGAGGGGAGTGCGGGCGATCCCCCGACTGTCTCCCCTGCCCGAGGGGAGTGCGGGCGACCCCCCCGACTGTCTCCCCCTGCCCGAGGGGAGTGCGGGCGACCCCCCGACTGTCTCCCCCTCCCCGAGGGGAGTGCGGGCGACCCCCCGACTGTCTCCCCCTGCCCGAGGGGAGTGCGGGCGATCCCCCGACTGTCTCCCCTGCCCGAGGGGAGTGCGGGCGACCCCCCGACTGTCTCCCCCTGCCCGAGGGGAGTGCGGGCGACCCCCCGACTGTCTCCCCCTGCCCGAGAGGAGTGCGGGCGACCCCCCGACTGTCTCCCCTGCCCGAGGGGAGTGCGGGCGACCCCCCCCGGCTGTCTCTCCCTGTCTGAGGGGAATGCGGGCAATCTCCTGACTGTCTCCTCCTGTCTGGGGTGTTGCCTATCTCTCCCTGAAAGGGGGTTTGCCAAACTATTCTGGGAGAGAGCAACACATCTTAAAGATAACAAGGAGTCCGGTGGCACTTTAAAGACTAACAGATTTATTTGAGCATAAGCTTTCGTGCTCAACTTCTTCAGATGCATCTGCAGAAGTGGGGTTTTTACCCACGAAAGCTTATGCTCAAATAAATCTGTTAGTCTTTAAATGCCACTGGACTCCTTGTTGTTTTTGTGGATACAGACTAACACGGCTACCCCCCTAATACTCAACTCATCTTAGAAACACTGAAGAGGCCCCCTACTCCATGGGGATTTTTCCCACTGAATCGCCTGTTGCTGCCGCAGAGAGGTCATCCCCCTGGGCGAATTGGCACCCTCTTCACCTCGTCACACCCAAGCACCTTCGGGCCTGCAATGCCTCATCAGGGTACATGGGTTCCTCCACATCCCTGAGCCCACTGGTGTGGAGTAAACGGGGTTCGTGAATCCAGGGAAATCCACGCTGGGTTATGCTAGTTGGGGTGTTACTCACGCCAAATGCATCTTCCCCTTCCCTTTCTATGCTTCCTCTATATTTCCCCCTGTAAATAACGTGTACAGTTGTTGCTGGTTCATCCATTACAGAGGTGTCAGAAGCGTGTATGACGCGGTAGCAGGCTAGTCACAGGGGTACGTACTGGGTCAGGGAGCGTTGAAATGACATAGGGAGGTAAGGTGGGATCCTGACTCCCTTAAACAGTCAGGTGGAGGCATCACCAGCTGGCAGCTAAGAACCCAGGCTGCTGAAACCCACTGCACATGAGTAAGGGCCCCTGATGATTAGCTGCCCCTAGGGGTATGGTGAAACCTGTGAAACCCGCTTACCATAATAATGATAATAATAGCAAGTAGTGTCTCTGTGGGGCCATACCATGGGATTCAATTGGCTGTTTCACTCCTCTGCCATTGGAAGCTTTGCTGATAGAAGCTTCGCTGATAGACTCATTCGGAGCAGCTCCTGGTATGTGGCCTTCAGGGACTTTGGGCCATGTTGTTCAAAGGTCTTTAGGCACCTGAAGATGCAGAGAGGTGCCTAGTTGTATTTTCAAACATGCCCAAGCAGAGAAGCAAACAATCAAAACTGAAGGGTGCCCAAGATGCTAGACCAGCATGTAAAATGCCAAAAAAGCTATTGGGAAGAACAAATCAAAAATATCAGTGAACTGGAGGGCTCCAGGTCTCTGCACAGAACAATCCACCTAGTAGAAACCTACCACAGTGATGTGCAAAGTTAAGGCTGACTCTCCCCAAATGCAGAACAGGTGGAAAGTGGGGACACAAAGCCCAGTCCAAATGAGAAGGGGAGAGACTGTGTTGCCAGCATGCCACAGGAGAGGCGGAGAGGACAGACTCCTGCACGCCAGTGTCCCAAGTACAAGAGAGGGCAAGGGAGAGATCTCCTCAAACTATCAGGAGCCATAAAAGACACCTTGTTAAGGAATGAGGTGGAAAGACGATTCGTGACCTTGGGAGATGGAGAGAGACGGCAGAGACGGAACTAAACTACAGAGTCAGGAATGGTTTCTCATCACAACTGGACTCTGGGAGTCAGTGCTAAATGCAGCATGTGACGCCATCCTAGGGGAGTCGGAGGTGGGACTGACAGAGACCCGAGGGGACTGGCATTTTTCTTACACTTTGGTAATATTTGTATAGCTTTGTCCTGCCCATAAAGTTTCATTGAATTGAATTGTATCTGAAATGCATAGGTGGACAAGATAGATACAAGAGCTGTCTGCTCTGCTATGTAATGTCTCTGAATAAGTGCTCAAAAATTGCAGTGGCCTATTTTACTTCTGTGTTATCATAGAATCATAGAATATCAGGGTTGGAAGGGACCTCAGGAGGTCATCTAGTCCAACCCCCTGCTCACAGCAGGACCAATCCCCAGTTAAATCATCCCAGCCAGGGGTCTGTCAAGCCTGACCTTAAAAACTTCTAAGGAAGGAGATTCTACCACCTCCCTAGGTAACGCATTCCAGTGTTTCACCACCCTCCTAGTGAAAAAGTTTTTCCTAATATCCAACCTAAACCTCCCCCACTGCGACTTGAGACCATTACTCCTCGTTCTGTCATCTGCCACCACTGAGAACAGCCGAGCTCCATCCTCTTTGGAACCCCCTTTCAGGTAGCTGAAAGCAGCTATCAAATCCCCCCTCACTCTTCTCTTCTGTAGACTAAACATCCCCAGTTCCCTCAGCCTCTCCTCATAACTCATGTGTTCCAGTCCCCTAATCATTTTTGTTGCCCTCCACTGGACTCTTTCCAATTTTTCCACATCCTTCTTATACTGTAAGCTCCTGTCTAATTTGCAGTCCAGCATCCCCTCAGCTCTCTCTTCAGAACCCCTGCTTTCCAGGTTTCATCCTCTGAATTTCCTAATGTAGGGGGATTTCAGGCAGACCCCGTGTCTTTGTTTGTGAATTGTGTAGCTAGCCTAGAAGACAATGGTTTAGGGTGGATTGGTTAGTGCTGCTCTGTGGCTGCCATAATTAGTACGTGGGGTGGGCAGGAGTTTTAGCTTGCCAGAGGGGAAGATGAGAAGCATCTGAATCTCCCCTCTGACAAGAGGATTAGAGCCATCAGTTTTTATCAGAAGGGGCAGCTGAAGGCAGAGCTGTGCTGCTTCCTCCAGTAGGAACTGACCATTCATGAGGGAGCTGATCTGGGAATGCATTTTACTGACAACAGAGTAACTCCTGTGCATTCCCTGCTGGGTGATCTCTTTAAGGACTCTGTGTCCTGGACGCATTCATGCAGACTACCAGACTGGGTTGTGGAACTGTGACTGCTGGTTCTGCTGAGGTCTCTATATTGTTGGACTGCAGCTGTGGTAACCCACACCTGTCCCCCAAGAACATACACGTAGCTGTCACAATGCAGAGCTGCTTCAGCCAAAGAGTTAGAAAGTGATTAAAGACTGAGATGACAGGGGTTCTTTGGTTCTGAGTCCAGTAGGGATTTGGGGTGCATGCTGTCAATTTTGGTTCAGCAGAGGTAGCTGTGGATTAGAAATGCATGTTGTCTGACAGCTCTGTATTGCAGTACCCTAACCTCTAATCAATAGGCAGCAAACACACCATTCCAGCATGATTTCCATGGAAACCAGAAGTCTCTTCCTATTGGAGGGCTCACAGGAGCTACACAGTCCTACTAGGTGCAAGTCCCATCTTAATATTGATGACTTTGCACTATTTGTGCTGGTGATTTTAGTGATTCCACAGCTGGCAATGGAGCGTGCACTGGAAAAATCTAGCAAGCAGCACGGAAGGATTCCTTGGAGCTATTAAGGGCTGACAACTTTACCAGCCCCTCCACTTACGTCATCGCTTCAGTGTGTGTGAGTATGAGGCAAGCACTAGATCGGACAAGGCCTCCGTAGCACAGAGCTGCAGATGAGCATCAGACCCTGAATAAATAAGCAGCCCTGCTTGGATGCTGTTTGCTCTGGGAATGAGAACCGGAGACCCTGCTGAGTGATGACAGAGCCGGTGTATTGAGGATCTGCAGCTGAGAACACAGACCTTGATATTCTGCCGTTCATTTAGCAGTCTTTGTATGATGGGAAGGAGGGGGAGCTCACACCGTGGATTTTCAGTCTGCAAAATCTTTGACAGGTTACAATGAGGATGATGCAAGGTAACCCTTTCCTAGCAGAGAGACTCTTCCATTTCCTTTTATCCCAGCAGTGAAGAAATGCAGCCCAAGATGTTCCTGGGATCCTCTCCGGTGCTCAGGCTGTGATGCCTTCAGGGTTTTTATCCTGTCCTCTAGAGCTTTGTGGCTGCAAAAAATTCCTAGCCATAGACAGGGTGAGATCAGTGTTTGAGAGAAGCACATTGCCCCACAGAAAGACATGGAGAAGCAGGAAGAAATGAAGCCACATGCTGACTTAATACAGCTGTCACCATGTCAGGGCTGCCCGGCATGGCACAGCAGCGTAGTCCCTGAAGGTCTTGTATGTCAGGACTCGCCCTTGGTGGCAGATGTGCAAGAAGGTGGAGCCCCTTTGGGGGATATTGGCAACGGGGTGGTTCTTGAACTGAGTCCTGGGGTGTCACAGCCTGGTCTAGAGGGACGGTCAGTCCTGGTGCAATCCCAGGCAAGCTCCCTGTGGGCCCCAGGCCGATGGGAGGCACCAGCGCAAGCCCTGGAGAGCGTTAGGCCTCAGTGCGCAATGGAGGGGCTCAGACACGACCCGGCAGATGGCTCCTCCAAGGTAAGGCCCTTTGCTTTCAGGTGGGGAACTGCCGCATGCGTTCCAGTGAGAGGAAGAGATTCACGCTGGTGTTTCGGCCGGGGTGCTTGTGAGATGAGACACCAGCGCTGACTTGGTGTGGAGAGAGGCCCAGGCAGTAACTGTCTCTCCGTGACTGAACCCTCACATCTATGGCTCGGCAAAGCTTTGCTGTGGGCTTGAGGTCAGTCCCAAGGAATGACTGTGTTGCTTGGAGGACTGAGAGTGAAGGCACCTGTCCAGCTAGTTGCCCTTTTGCAGGGATCTCCAACTGGCTGTACTTTGGCCAGTGCTGGAGGATGTTTTGTGGAGCTTGGATGAGAGCTGCCTGGGGCTGCTGACTGTGGGCGTGTGCTGGTTCTCAGCAGGTGCAGTCACTGTGCAGTGCAAAGGGGAAGGTAGATCTTTTTGTCTCGGCAGCCTCTCCTCACTATGGAGGGAGCTCCTGGCTTTGCAACTGAAGAGTATGACGGGATTAATTGGAAGCTTCTTCCATGAGATCCTTTATCTGCTGAGGTGATACGGTGTGGGCCTGCTGGTCCCAGACACAGGCACCACAGTTTGCAGAGAACCCCAGGGATCATTCAGCCAGTCCAGTGCTTAACTCCACCCAGCATCTCCCTAGGGACAGGGCAACAGCGTTCCACGGTTTGTAAGTTCCCTCCTCCCCAGGACATGTCACACTCCCTCCATGTCCTCTTGGGGAATCCAGGAATTACTGTGAGAACCCCACCAATGACAGCATGTGGGACACAGGAATGGCCCAGCCAGGCTTTCTGAAAAGGGGAAAAATAGAGTCTGGGCCCATTATTACAGTGATAGACAGAGAAGGCCTGAAAAGGGGTTGGGTTTTTTACAATAGATATTTAGGACATGTCTACCCTGTATTCCTGGAAAACTCTATGGCGAAGTGGCAGGTTTGGCACATTAGAGAAACTAAAAGTGAAAACTAATTAAGTGCGAAGGGACGTGGCTTTAGTTTAGATACTTTGAACTCGTTTGGTTTTTTTGAACGCCCTGTTTAATGCAAACACTTGAAAAGTTCACTTTGTTAGGGAGTCACACTCAAAATTATAGTGTAACGAGTGCAGCACGGTACCCGTGGGGTGGAGGCAGGCTTGTACTCGTCAAGGCTCGCCCTTGCTACTGCTCTCCGCTGTGCATGCTATCCCAGCTATGCTACTGGTTTTAGTCCATTAGCTCAAGGAGAGATAGTGTGAGTGTGATAACATGGGCTGGGAATCACAATCCCAGTTCATGCTGCAGATGTATTCTCAGAAGGGGGAGAAAGGGCATTCGGAAGCTGCTGCTGGAAGCCTAGCTGCTGTGCTCACTGGAGTTCAGCACCTCTGGTGTGCTGTTGTTCCTCATTAGCCCCTGATCTGGCAAATGCAAATTTCCTGACTCCCTGATAAGATATTGGAGACCTTATCTTCACAACTAAAAGAGATGCGTTTTTTACCTTGGACTATCTTGAGGTGACACATGGAGAAGAGCAGGAGCTTTAGTTTACTGTGAGGTAAGATCACTGACCATGGTGAGTTACCTGCAGTAAGATGGGGTGTGTCTACACAGCAAAGAAAACCCTGTGGCTGGCCTGTGCTAGGCGACTTGGGCTCGTGGAGCTTGGGCTGCGGGGCTGTTTCATGACTGCATAGACTTCTGGGCTCGGGCTGGAGCCCAGGCTCTGTGACCCTCCCACCTCGCAGGTCCTGGAGCCTGGGCTGGAAGGAGAGAGGGGCAGTGAGGGTGCAGGGCTGTGTGTGGGGAGGAGCTGACTAGTACTGATGTTGCTGTGGGTAATCCACTGTTCAGTGTGTCACATGTCCATCTCTGTGCTTGCTTTATAGAGGCTCTGACTCTGCTCTGGCTCCTAGCAGGGGACTCGTTCCATTAGCTCAAGCCGTAGTGGCTCGTGCTCTTAGCTGCTGAGGAGGTTCAGTGATAGCAGTTATTGCATAAATACAATCCTGAACCCTCCCAGCCTTGTACGTTTCTGCTTGCCTGGGTACCCCCCTAGGTATCCTGCAGACACTTGGCTGGGTGACCCCTTTGATGCCCAGTGCTCTCCTCCTCTCATGCACACCTCTCCTTCTGGGAGTTGCCTCTGATGTCCCTGGTTGTCAGTGGAGGTGAGCGCTGCTGCTGTGCAGTGAGTCAGAGCTCCAGCAGTTAGCGTGTCTCCCACTGGGAAAGAGTTAAACATTTCATCCTGGTGTCAAACACAAGATGGTTAAAGCTTATCAAGTGAGCCCTGGATTGCGCCCCGATGGCCGTCTCAACTGAACATCCTTGGTCACAGGAGCGTAATTCAGTATCAAGCGATAACAGATACTGATACTTGATTGGCCTATGGGAAGTGTGGTCTCTCAATCCAGTTCCTAGCAGGCAGGTGTTCGTGTCATAGAATCATGCTAGTGGAGGGTGAATGGGCAGAGACAGGATGCTACCCTCTTGTTTGAGGGTTGGTTTTTCCAGGTCGCGGCTGGGGCCTGTGGGTGGGCGTGGTGAGGTGAAGCTTATAATGCGGTTGTGTATATGCTGCATTTGTTCTGGGAATAGAAGTTGTTTGCCCTCTAACAGGGCTGCTGTCACCAGCAGTAACCAGTGCCTTCTGCAAACCAAACAAGTGCTCCTGCAGAGCAGGGTGTCCACCATCAGAGTGCCTGGCCCAGTAGTGCACCCCAGGGTGTTTTGTTGCTGGGGGAGTGCAGAAGTTGATTCTGTTCTGAAACCCTTACCGTTTGGGTACCAGTTGTGACTGGCATGGCTTCTGTGCTTGGTGAGGGTGGGCCTGGCCACTAGTGTGCATTGCTTATTTTCTGGATGCCAGCCTGAAACACCTCACACCTGATTATCTGATGTGCTGAGCACTCACAACTTCAGCTGAGGTCAATGGGAGCGGCAGGTACTCAGCAAAGCTGTGAAATCAGACCCAAGGCCTCTCAGTCTGGACAGCCCACATCACTGGACATTTAAAAATTCTACCGAAAATTCTATTCACACTTAAGGTCTCCTAAAATCCTGCAATTACTGAATATCGAAACATAAAAAGGTACAATTTGAAGTAGACATATCAACAGATGAATTTGAAAATGCTGTAAAAGACTTTCCAAATGGCAAGTCTCCAGCACCAGATGGCTTTAGCAGTGAGTTGTATACATTTGTTCAGGAGTTTTTAGTGTCTCAAGTACTTCAAAAGTTCTATAACTTCCTTAAAGAGGGAAAATTGCCCAATTCATGTTAGAAAACCAGTATACCCACACTCCTGACAAAACATAAAAGGCCAGAAGATTGTACATACTGGGAGCAATATCATTAATCTAGGCAATAAGATATCAGCAAACCTCTCTCTGTAGCTCTGTCATTATCCACCCACGCTGATGAGACATTTTATGAGGTTCTTTGGGACTATCTTTTTATAGTACCGGAGACGTAATTTTGGACACCAGTTTACAACCCTTTTGCAGTTCTCCACATGAAACCCTTTTTTTGAACTTTGAGTCAGAGCCTTTATTTCTAAGGAGCCGTGCAAGGGAAGGACATACTTCATCCCCTGTTTCTCTTTAACTACTTGCAATAGCCATCAGAGATTCTCCAGAGATTTAGGGCAACACAGTCCATGATAAAGAACATATCATTGTTCTCTTGACAGATAACATCCTGTTTGAGATTGGTGAAATACATACTTCCATTCCAGATGTGTCTCTCACAGGCCTTCAGCACTGGAGGTAGCTCTTGAGCAAATATGACCAGGTCCAGTCAGAGGCGATTCTCCTGTGCACCCAGCCAGCAAGGCTCTTGAGTTAATTGCAAAGTGGAGGTTCCCCTCAGGTCCTGTGGGACCAATACCCCTGTTTTAACTGAACTAACAATGCCAGATCTGCTCCCTAGTTACTAACCCTCACTTCAAGACCTGACGTGGAATAACGTACCAACCTCTGGGAGGATTTTCACTAGCACTCAGAGTTGGGCCCAAGCTGAGTGCTTTAGGAAATCACACCCATGGATGTTTGACTGAGTCAACAGAATAAAGAGGAACACCTGAGACCAAGAATTAGCTTGCTGAGGCTCCAGCGACAGAAACAGGAACAGGTATGTTACCCTCCCCAAGTGCGGATACTACCGCAGGGCATCTGTAGTTCTGTGTTCGGCACTGATTACATTGTACTAAAACTCAGAATAACAGCCGTACATAACAGCACTCTGACATGGCAGCCGACTGCTCTTCCTGCCAACCTGATTTATGGAGCAGATTCCTCAGGAGATCTGACAACATCCTCCAATAGGACCCACTCTGCCAATATGGAGAAAGGTTACCACGTACATTGGTCTAGTGTCATGGTTCCCAAATTTAACAGCCCGCGAACCCCTTTCACTAAATTGTGAAATCTTGTAAACCCCCTCCTAAACATGAATATTTCCAGGGATTTAAGTTTAAATTTCCTCCACACTCCGCAACCCATGGGGCTCCTGCTGCTGGACCCCGTTGATCGCCCCGGTCAACTGAGCCCCACTGAGGTCAGGCTGCAGGTCCCGCAGATCGCCGGGGCTCGGGCTGCCAGCCCCAACTGCCCTGCCCCGCTCTCCCTGGGGCTCGGGCGGTCTGCCCTGCAACTGGGTCCCACGTGCTGCCTCCAAAGCCCAGGGTCGTCTGGCTGCCATTAGTGAAATTTTTCTGGTGAACCCCCTGTAATGTTCTGCGAACTCCCAGGAGTTCGCGAACCCCAGTTTGGGAACCACTGGTCTAGTGCCAAATTCTCAGTGTTGTCCTAGATACATGTGCTTCCTTTGGGCCAGACTCTCCTCCAGAACAAGAGGCTGCTCATTTTAAAAGATGACCTACTAAAGGACTGTCAATGTCACCTATGTCCAAGATACAACACCACTGAATTTTGAACAGCTCAAAACTAATCTAATCTACCTTCTACAGATTTCCATATGTACCTAAATGCTAGACACTTCCTACATGTGGGCACTAA